CAAAGCACACATAACCTTTAATACGGTCCATCGAATACGATCGGTCGCTAAGTATCAAATTTATATATCAAGAGTTTAACTGAAGTTTCCGGAAAATTCGGGACAGGTAATCAACTAATAAATTATAAATACAGTTTCTTTTGTTTATAGTTCGCTAATTCAATAATTAAAATAAATGGAACATCAAACAGACATGAAATTAAGCAAGAGGGACATACACTGAAATGTAGACAATCAATACAGCAATGCCACAAGAAATTATTGCGCAACACGATATCCATTTATCCATGTCAAAAAATATGCGAATCATTAATATTAATGACTTTCATATAAATTATATTCAAATAAAATATACAGGCACCTAATAACCCAAGAACATACCAAAAAAATTAAAAAATAAGGTGCAAGAATTAAAATAAAAAGACTTCCTTTTTAAATTACTAAATATTAACATTATTAGTTAATTTATATTTAATATAAGATAAATTTGCTGGTCACTTAAAAATTGGTAAACTAATAGCATTTGTCAAAAAGGCAGTATACAACTATCGCTTAAACGAGTCTTTCAAAAATATTTAAGTTCTGTGTAACGGCCCACCTACGGTACCCCATTTTTGATCGTTGTTTTACTCTCTGAAATGTTATTATTTACCTCACAAGTTTATTTTACTTTAAATTCTAAACTTGCTGTATTTGATCATTTTCCAAAGTAGTAGAAGTGATCGTCTAGTTAATTAATTGATAATTTATATACCCACGTTGTAATACTGTTAATTAAGGTAAACCAGGATTCGATGCAAAGTTTGGTGCAAATTAATAAATAAAACCAGACAAATTTGTATTTAAACTCTTTTATTTTTCATACTTTAAATGTGATGCAATAATTAGTGTATTACAAATTGGTAGATACTATTTACTGAGATCCCACTAGAGTCCCGTTCAAACGCAGACCACGTTCATTTGCTATCAAGATATATTTTATTTAGATTGATGAACAACGGAGTTAACGAACAGCGTCAATTCGTCAGTTGGTTAACTACTATGTTGATGTTTATATTCTTATTTAGGTTGATGCCCAACGGAGTCAACGAACAGCGTCAATTCGCCAGTTGGTTAACTACTATGTTGATGTTTATATTCTTATTTAGGTTGATGACCAACGGAGTTAACGAACAGCGCTAATTCGCCAGTTGGTTAACTACTGTGTTGATGTTAATTTGATTCTATTCTAGATATACACAGGTTGCATCCTCTTAAGTAAATATTTCGACGACTATAGAGGTGATGACCAACGGAAGTAACGAACATCGTCAATTCGCCAGTTGATTACCTTACTATGTTGATTTCACATATACTTTGTTTTAAACCTTGCAGAATGGGTGGCTTAGCATATAGGTGTGTCCCTCTTGAGCTAACGAACAGTGTATTCACCAGTTGGTTAACTTACTGTTAAATTTTACCATCTTGGTTTTTACAATTTATCCAAGATAGCACATTCCTGTATATTTCAAAAATATTGATTTTTATAGTTTCTATTGAAATTACTTAATACAACCCTGTATATTTTTTAATATTGATTATTATAATTTCTATTGAAATAACTTAATACAACCCTGTATATTTCTTAATATTGGTTTTTATAATTTCTATTGAATTAACTTAAATTCACCTATCGAAAACAGATCACTAACCTAACTGTCTTTTGGGGTGAACGTCTGAAGGCCATGGTTTATTGGTTTATTGGTTACATTGATAATATTTTGAAGCAAATGTCAGGCCCTCGTCTAAACGACCCCGGTGGTATCTTAAAGAAAGTTACATAAATCTTTTGACAAACCATTGAAAATACAGACATTAGATTATATACTAATTTCATCTAGCGTTGTGATGGCGTCGATTTAGGTACGTAGCAGCGTTGAGCGTCGCCTTGCGTCGAAGCGCCTAGCGTCGTGGTAGAGAGGAAGGTATTTAATATGGTACTGCATTGAGACAGTAATGAGGTAGAAATATTTAGGTGGTGCGGGACGTGACGAAGGGTGTCGACAAGGATATTATGAAGGAAATATTTAGGGACGGGAAATAAGGCATGGGACGTTGACCGCGTTCGGGGGATAGGAGATATTGTAGGATAGACGTTGTTTAGGAAAAGCGTTTTAGGAAAGGTACTGACTACTGAACTTAAAATATAACTGGATACAAATAATAAAATGAATGCTTGCACATCAAATAATAAAAATGAATGCTTGCACATCAAATAATAAAAAATGAATGTTTCCGAGCTTATTTGAGTCCGAGTTCTTATACCCGTTTTAATGGCTTTTTGTGACGTCTCTGTTTGTCTTAGTTCCCAGCGAAAAAAGGAATCTGGGTGGAAAAGGGGTGGTCGATTTATTACTTGCCTTGAAAAATTTGTGTATCGAAACAACGTTACTATTCAAACGCATTTAAGATAAGTTCGTTAAGTGTTTCATGGACTGGGTTCCCAGACACGTGCAGGAAAATTTGATCTCTTTCAGATAGGTTTATAGATATTATTTATTAGATGTCGTAAATAAGATTTAATTATCTGGGAGATTTTTCGTTAAATGAAGGATTTTGAACTTAATAAGAATGCAATATTATATTTCATAAATGGAATTAATAAATTATTAAGGTACCTGGGTGCGGTACAACTGCTTCTTAAAAAGACAGAATACATTTTTTCAGAAAAACATGTCTTTTTAAACAGAAAGTCTACCACTTCAGCAGTTAATAGCTGCTTCCCAAAATATTTTTAAGACATTTGTTTTTTATATATAAGAGACATTTTAAGATAAAGCAGAATGGGAGGATCATACTATTTGTAGTTTTTTAAAAATAGGTTTACAATGAGCAAGATAGCTGTCATATGTCAGACGACGTACTACTTTATTCTGAAATCCATGCTACTGTTGTTGCTCTAGATTACTGAAATAAAGAGGAGTAGGTCTTTCTGAGATATGTTATATCTAGATGTAGTCTTAACTGTCTAAGTATGAATGAAACAATTACATATTTCTTGAATATTAGGATTAATACTAGAATATCTCGAAGCTTTGGCTAAAGTATTCATTAACAATGTGGTCATCTTAAGATGATCATGGCAAACAAATACTTGACTAGGACTAGATAAAATCTAGACCTGATCGCAGGCATTCTGACTGGTCAGTACCAAGTAAAGAAGCATTTCCATAGTATAGGACTGTTAGAATCCATACGATGTAGGGGGTACGAACAAGAAGATGAAAGTATCGAGCATATCCTCTACGGTTGTCCAATGTTCTAATTTATTATAAGATTTGTATTCGGCGAGTTTTGGCTAACACTAGCCGATTAAGAGAAGAATCTCTCGGCGACGTAATCAACTGCAGCAAATATTTAAGATGGCTGACGATTCTATCAATTTAAGAGGATTCACAGTAGGTCTAGGGAGAGGCCTAATTGCCGTGAAGCAACCCACCTTCCACATCTTACAGACGATGGCTAAAATCTAATTTTAAATCAATATACATCCCTAATAACTTAACATGTTGTTCAATGCTTACGTTATATGGACTGGGTTACGGTTTCAATGAGAGCTAAACCATTGCAATTAAAACCAGCATTTTGACAGATCCTCTGCACTATTCAGTGTGTGTAAAGTATAATCATCAATAAAAAAAAACGCGTAAAAAATCTTGGTGACAAAACCAAAGCAATTCGTTAAATCTTTATTGTAAATAATAAAAAATAACAGTTCCAAACAGAGCCATAGGGACTTAAATTTCCATGCTACTCCCTAACCCCATATATGTCCCATTTAAATGACAAAATGTATTGTCTGATAGTGTCACAAGCTCTTGAAGGATCATTAAATCTAACCGAACTAAGCTTTTTCTCTTTGTAGCTGTTTATGATATCTTCATAACAGGTAGAGATAGTTGAATGGTTTTTCCTATATACCCAAATGGACTAGGTGACAATAAATTATTGTATTCGACAAAATCTAAGAATCTCGAAAATTGTCCCTATGATTAGAACTATAGAAATAGGCATATAGTTAGATGGATAATTAATATATCCTTTCTATATGTACATGGCTTCCTCGTTTCAAAGCTATAATTATTTATTGAATAAAGAAATCCAAATTTATTCGTGTCGATATTTTTTCTATCTTGTTTCTAAAGTTATAATATTTTATTTTTGATGAAAGGATATATCCTTATCTTAACGATGACTAACGTATGTAACAAAAGTGTTGATAAAAACTATCTACTTTTTGCAAATGATCTTAAATATTTTGTGTGGAAATTGTCTTTTGTATTCTATGGAAATCGTCTTTTGCATGTTCTGTGAAAATTGTCATGAATACCATATAAAATAGAACAAAAGCTATATGTTGTTCACTGACAATTTCCACAGAATACATAAGACGATTTCCAAATACTAGATTTAAAAGCATTTGCAATAAGGTGGCAATTTTTGCCAAAACTTTTGTTACATAACGAACCAAGGTCAGAAAAAACATGGAATAAAAAAGAAGTTAAAACTGATTAGTTGTATGTTTTCAAAAGGATAATTTATTCCAAAATATCGTAAAAAAACTTTATATGTTTTTTCTTAGCCACGTCTTCATTATAAACCAGTTTCGATATCTAGTATATTCGAAGCCATGCCATAAACAAACCGACTGAACTGAATTTTCCCTGAAAAATATGTAAATGCTCGAAAGACAAAACATATCGGCTTTCGGAAATCGACAAAACGGTTGGCATTTGTTTTTCTGGAAAACGAAACGAATAAAACGCTCTGATAATAGATTTCGTTCGATTTCTACACGCAAAAACGGAAATTAAAGGGTGTACGCGTGGTTTATTTAAATGTATACCCGTACAAAAAAAAACAACTAATAGAAAAAATATCCTACCGACTGCGCCAAAATAAAAAAATATTCACCAACATTTAACGCTTACGTAATTTATTTTAATTTTTTCACATTATAGAATGAAGATGGAGATGTTTTACTAGTAGCTGTGACAATGGATGGATTAAGAAGTTTTGTGTATGATGGTTGGCATTTTATTGAGAGCAATATTAACTTTGGTGGTGATTTGAAAAGTGCTGATGTACAAAATATTAAAGCAGTTCATTCTTATCATATTGATAATAAGAATATTTTAGGTAAGTCCAAGAAAAATAAACATAGTAAGAATCTCCTTCTGTTTTGCAAATTCGTCCCAGGAGATAGATACCTAATATTACCTGGCTATAATAATCACTTTATTATTCATTCTGGTCAATCTGGTCCGCAATTCGTGTCATATTTCCAGGTACAAAAATAAATTTTTTCTTATATTGTACTTAATTTGAAGTTAATACAACACCGTTGAGGTAACATTTCGGAAGGCGCGACAGACGACAACAGACGCAACGGCAAAGGCGACCAAGAACGGTCTCTTCACGTCTGAACACATGAAATTATATGAAACACATTTTGCAAGGCGCGACCAGTGGGACAGAGAGAACTCGACGACAGGTAGATCGGTCTCGGGGTAGAGCGTTTGCTGCCTGTCGCACTCAGTCCTCAGTTATCGCTTGTATTTCGAGGTGATTAGTTGATATTTTATAGAAATGGTAGTTGCACAGTAATTTTGATCTAGGCAGTGTTGCCAAATGAACATTTGCTGGAAAAAAATGGGCGAAAAAAAAAAAACCGTAACTCTGAACAGTAGAATTTAATACAGGAGGAAATAATTATAATTTGCAGTGTAGTAAATAAAAAAAAAAACAAGTATATAAGAAACAAAAAATAAACATTTTTCTACTCAAATTAGAAAATTAACAAAGAATAAAAACAAATAATAACTTTTTTAATATATACTTAACGTACGGAAATAAAACAAGAAACCAGCGAAAAATAATAGGTATTTCTTTTAGATCAGTCTGAATCAGATAAAATAAATACGTTGTGTTTGGCATGTACGTCTTTTTTATGATGCCCTATTAATTCTTTGTTGCATTTTAAATAAAAACATAATGATTATCTTGATGGAACAAACCTACACTAGTGGATGCTTATTACGCTGCTATTACTTCAGCAAATTTAATATTATTTGGCCATCTGCTGAAGAACGAGGCAAACTTAATAAATTAAGAACAAAATTTGTTAAGTTGGCGAAAACAGTAGATTTCATGCCTAAAACAGGAGAACAGAGACAAAAACAGTGGATCTACTTAAAAACAGTAGGTTTGAAAACACTAATCGTTCCTTCGAATTGTCGTCTGCGGTTGTCGCGTCGCCTGTCTCCTTGCTTGCCAAATGTAAAAAGCGTAACATAAATGTATCTGTCTCCTTTGCCGTCGCGTCTGTTGTCGTCTGTCGCGCCTTCCGAAATGGTACCTTTTAACTTTTAATTTGGAAGAATAAAAATCGCCACTAAATATAATATATTTATATTTATTCGTCAGCTGTTAATATCAGATAGATATCTTTTTAATATTATACATACCCATCGATGTACCTAACCGATAAAAATCGACACGAGAACTAAAGAAATATCCCAGTGGCGGGCATATCACTAATAGCATTTACGATATATAACATTTCCCCCTTTTTTTACCTAAAAATACATTCCATTTACATATTATATCCCATTAGTGAGTAAATGTTCAATATGTCGCAAACAGATTTAAATAAAAGTTATATGGATTGGAAAAATACATAAAAAATTTTTTTTGATACACAGGGAGTTGCGTTTTTGCCTGGAAAATGAAAATGTGTATTTTTTTAAATAAAAGAGCCTGTATTTTATTAATTTTTAGAATGGTTTGGTAACACTGTATTTAAACCTAGAATGTTTTTAAAAAACATTATAGGGTTGCCAAGCAATTAATTTTTTTTATGAAATTAGACAATGATGCGGACCCCTATTAAATTATAATAATTTAGGTAGGTTTACATTGATTTCAAAATTGTTTAATATACAGACTTATAAGATATTAAGCTAACCAATAGTGGTGATAGAACTGGTTTATTTTATACAGAGTGTTTTGAAACATGTCTTAAATAAGGCTAATTTTAGGTTCAATTTACTCAGAAGAAAATAGCCCCACTCTTCCAAACATATCATATTTTCATCTGCAAAAATAGTAAATAAATTAAAATTTCGTTATAAAAAATTTGACAGAAACATCTTTTTAACAGAGAGAGAGAGAGAGACAAAATTATAGCGCAAGAAATCAGCATGTACAGTTATTTTATTTAGATGAAACATGGGTTAATGCTGGACATACTGTAACAAAAATTTGTAAAGATATCTCCATCAAAACTAAAAAACAAGCCTTAATGGAAAAGGAAATAATTTCGACTGTTATCAATAACTCGTATCTACAGTTTTTGGTCAAATTATGTAAATACCGCAATGGGTAGATGTTTATTAAATCTTTAGAATGGAAATTTCACCTAATGACTGAGATTCATATGTTCGCGCCAATTTTCAAACGGAAATATCACCAAACTACAAAGGCTTCAGACTGTATAAGCAGTACCTCCTATCTTGCATTTTGTTGTGAACCATTATTGTGCGTGTATCAGCTGGGAAGATTCATTTGAATTCTTGTTATTTTTTTGTCTTTTTTTTTTGTTTTTTCTACGACCCGTTGTATATCATTTTTATTCGAGAACAATAATTTATTTGTTAAAATGCGTAAATCAAAATTTCATTGTAGATAGGAGGCATTTTTGTTCTATGAAATTGAAACTAACTGTAGCCAATACCTTCCGGTTACTGATAACCAGTAAAGGATAATATTATGAATCTACTTCTACGAAAAACTCAAGATATTGACCCTCAATTCGAATTCGAAACACATACTCTGGATCCAGAATATATACCCGATACAAAAAATAATAATATAGATAGTGATGGGCCTGGCAGAGGTACTGATGATCCTGATTGAAATTTAATTTTAATAATACAACATTAGATGGTGATATTCCTTGTGACGAGCCGATGTCCGATCTAGACTATATTATACCCGATAATGGAGACAACATCGATAGTGATAACACTAGATGAAATCGATTTACAAAATAACCATGCTCCAGATACCGAACAATATACCATAGCAGAGGCCCCAGGACCAGAGGCGCCTTGTGAGGACGTCTCGCATGGAGATATGAGCGAAGGCATCCAAATGCAAATTAAAAAAATAAACAAGAACAAAAAAATTAGAATGGAAGGCAAACAATACTTGTGTTATTCAAAACCGAGAGGAAAAGTAATGAAGCAGAACCAAATTAGAGAAGCTCAATCTCTCAATCCGATTTGTGCCTCTGCTAGTTGTAAGAAATCAGAAAAACGAATGTGTGGAAAGTTTACAGAAGAAGAAAGAAAAAGTATATTTGACAAGTTTTGGTCCGAACTAAACTGGGATCAAAGAAAGATTTACGTTGTTTTCCATGTCAATAGAATTGCCACAAAACTTAAGACAACGTTAACTTTATTCTTTGACGTTCAAGTATAAAACGTATCCAGTGTGTCGAACAATGTTCTTAAATGCCCTTGGAATAGGTTCTTTTACAGTACAAAGTTGGACGAAAAAAAGTGCCCATGCTATGCTCATAAATAAAAAATATGACAATCTAAATCGTGTAAAGAATTTCCCTTATGCCGAAGAGATCAAGTAATTAAAAGATTTTTTGAAACAGTTGCCTAAATTGCCTTCTCACTACAACAGAGCAAATTCTTCTAAACTTTATTTAGAGCCGGTTTTTAAATCATTAAAACAATTGTATGACTTATACTCAGAACATTGCAAGAATGCGAACAAACGAAATCTTTCGAGTAAAACTAGACCATGATAATAAACCTCAAAAAGACAATGATAATGATACCAGTAGTTGTAGTGAAGACAGTAACTTTTAAAGATAGTTCTTTAACTTTTCATTTTTTCAATCTTTGATTTTTAGGTATTACTTTTAATGCCACGAAATTAAAAAAAAATTTGTCCCATTAACAACATATAGTCCTTGTAATTTATTGGTTAAAATTTAATTTGTTCAATGTTAAAGTGCAACAATTTTGTCAGAAGCATAAAGTGTATTTTTATTTTTTTGTTTTTCATTTAAAATTTAATCTACGAAGTGTGTGTATACCATTTTATATGCCGTGACCTTATTTATATTATTGAAACTAATTTTGCAAAGTGAGTCTATGAAATGTAACTTCTACTGCACTCCTTTATTATTCAGACTATAGAATATCATCAACATCGAAAAATAATAAACAGTCTTTCTGATTCACTAGCCAAGAAAGCAGCTAACCATATAGTTTTTAGGGTTCCGTACCTTATTACTAAGTCTCGGCTGTCCGTCCGTCTGCCTGTCAGCGGGCTGTATCTCATGATCCGTAATAGGTATAGACAGTTGAAAGTTTCACAGAATGTGTATTTCTGTTGCCGCTATAACAAATAAATTAAAAATTAAAGGGGCCCCGGGTCCGGACGACTTTACGGATAGTGGAATTTTAAATAAATTTATTTTTTATTAGGAGGAGCGTATTTTAAATAGTACATTTAAAAAGAAAAATTTGCGGCAAATGCATTATTAAGGCCAAAAAAATTATTTAATTCCTATAAAAATCAGCGTTTTGGCGACTGTAAACATCGAAACTCGATGATTTCTACAAAATTTGAAAAATATAATTGCATCGTTGCCAGATTGTCATAAAATTAGTAGTTAACAGAAAATGGAAAGATACGCCAAAACAATTTTTTTGATTTTTTTTAGGCCATTTTGGACCCTCTAAAAAACACTTTTAAATACATTTTCGCCTTGAAACCCCTTAAAATTAATTTTTTTCTTTCCTTAAACGTTCAAATTTATCATCCAATCACGATCCTAAAATCACGTGAATTACATAATTTTGATTGATTTTTTGTAGTAGAAACTGCTAAATATCAATATTAGGACTATCCATAGAGCAATAAACCATATAAAATGTTTTCGTAAACGCTTATAATTTCTTTGTATTTTAAAACTGTTGATTACTTCGTAGTGACATTTTATCTACTGTCAGTACTGTCGTTTTAAAACATTAAAAAATACAGTGTTGCCAGATCAATTCGAACATGTCAGTCGTCATGTTACCTGTATCCTGTGTCCTGCGTTGTTCTAGGCC